TCCTTCAATGTTCACTGACGCGAACTCTTAGATCTGTTAGGATCTTAGTTTAACGCGTGTTACTTGATTTTTACCAACCTTCCCAAGAGGATATGCTTCTTCACAGGCTGATTTCAAGTACTGCAGAACTCCTGCCACAGCGTCAATGTCCTATGGTGATGGGATCTATTTTTGCAGGCTCCGGAGGCTCTGCATCATATCCTAAAGCCTGATCTGGTATTTCTGAAAATCTGTTTTCCTTACAAATCGAGAAAACTACACAGCCACCTCCGTTGTAGAAATCCAAAATTTGAAATTGGAGTGATCTGAAAGTGATTTTTCGTCGCTAACCTCCCAGTTCTAACCTCTTTAATAATATCAGAAGCTAAAGTTAGATCCAATACTTCAGCAATGTTTTTGTTCCTATAATTAAACTTGTGTTCTCGATCATTCCAGGATAGTTTTGTTACCGACAGAAATTCCATAAGGTCCTGCCCTCTTTGATTAATGTTGGTGCTATGCCAGGCGGTATGATGTGCATTTGTGTTACTTCCTACCAGCAAAGGCAGATTTTTAATGTCACAAAATTCCACTAATCCTTTGAAGAACTGTGATGAAATTGATTGATCTCCACCCATGTTAACTGAAGCTTCCTAACCGCTACCAGGTCCCGATCAGAGAACTGTGGCAGCATCCAGGCTTTCACCGATGGATGAGCGAAGATGCAGACCCTGGTACTTTTATCAAATTGGATTCCATAGTTTGTTGTACTCTGTATGCATATACTCTAATTTCCACTATTGGTAAGTAAATAAGGAAGGAAAATTCCACTATTAGTAAGTAAATAACTATGTATATATTTATAATACATAGTTATGTACTTACTAATAGTGGAATTTTCTTTTTAGTGACTTCTTCTTTTAATATTGGTAAGCAAATGTTACTTTATTGTACCGAGGAATTTTCGACGAAGTTGATTTTATTTACCAAAATAAAAGTAGCTTCTTTGATTTTTCCCTGTTTACCATCTGTTTCCTTCAGGACTATATGATTGACCTAGATATGACCCACATCATTCACTTTTGAAACAAAGCAGATTAGCCGACATAAAAAACGGTAGTGTGACATCTAGAAAATATCAAATATTGAACAAACATTTGCCCATTAAGACAAATGAAGAAGAAGAGATATATGATAAAGATATACCTGTTTCTAAAAATATTTTAGTCTGATTTTGTAAACGAAATTTTTGCTTTCAAAGAAGCATAATTCCCACTCTAATACTACCATATTTTATCCAGCAGTGTTATCCACTCTCTGTACTATTTCCTTAGAAGTGCTGAAAATTCTTTGGTAACTCCAAGGTCTTGTCAATTGGATGAAAAGCACTAACCAGAGGCTAACGTCCCCAATTTTTAGAATCCATGATGACAGAATACGCAATGAAACCTTATTAATTATAATAAAAAAAGATAAGCAAATCGTAAAAGTCATTAAAACTAGAAAACTAACGTATTTTGTGCATGCAATGAAGGTACTCGGAAATGTACAGCTATTTACATCTAGTGATGCAAGAAAGAATATTCGGAAGAAGACATTCAGGAAGAAAAAGAACATCGTGGCTTAAAAACCTGCAACAGTAATATGCACAACAACTTACTCTTTCTCCAGTACCTACCAGTCTAGTGGGTCATGATCGCCAAAATTATACCTAACGTTTTAAAAAAGGTTCCACTACAAAATATTACAATTATAAAACAATGTCATTGATAACTTAAGCACCTGAGATAATTTTGCAGATACCGCATAATTAGATTAGAAACATCGTATAAAATCGCCCACTTCATTTCCTCCATCAAAAAACACAATATAAAATCATTCGTCGCCAAAATAGACACTGTGAGATACTGCTATTTATGCAGGAAGTGACCATCTCTATTAGATCTTCGAAACCAAAGACTGGGGCACATGAAAACAAGATTATAACCCAGATTTATGTTTTGTGAACAAAAAACAGGAAAGGAACGTATCCATTACCAACCAAGAGAAGAGTATCCAAATCCCGCTGGTTTCACCTATTACACGACCTTGCTTTACCAAGTTTCAAAGCTTTACCAAGAATATCTTAAAACCGACGAAAACTCCATTGCGGACGAATTTCTTTTGAGTCTAGATACAGTTATAAAATAAAAATGGGCAAATCAAGTTGAATCCCTACAGTTTAAGAATTCTACAAGAAACCCCTGGCATAAATACAAATAAAATCACCATATAGTTGCCAGCTCCAGAGGAGCATACGATAAAAAAATTTACTAGTACTACAAAAAAGAAATTTGAACCTTTAAAAGCTACCTGTCCATTTGAATCAGAGTACTCCCTAATGTTCCCTCCAGAAGAAGTCTCACATACTATCAAAGGCATTGAACCTGACAAAACACCTGGCACATATAGCATACTCCTTGGTATTCCTGATTTATTGTGGAAAAGCTGCAAAAATATGGTTGTCTGTATATATAATGTCCAGTTTCTGCTTGTGTCCGGTAGTCCAGTGCCTTCCGGTTCCGAGTCTTGACATTGACTTTTGGACTCCATCTAGCCATGTTGTTTTTGGTCTTCCCGTCTTTTTCGTTCAGGTAGCTGCCAATCATATATTATCCTCTGGAGGCGAGAGTCTGTCATTCTCTGTAGATGTCCCTACCAAATAAGCTGCTTTTGCTGTATTTCTTCTATGATTGTTTTTTATTCTGTACATTATTTTATTATTATTTCGTTTGTTACCTGCATCATTCTCGATACTTATACCTGATGATCTGCGCCATAAATCCATTTCCAGGACACGGAGTTTTTAAACTGATGATTTAGATGTTAAATTGTAAGTAATGTTCCTATATTAAATAGCTATAAGCCTTACCTTTAAAACCTCATAAACACCATATGGCATTATAAGTGTAAGTAATGCCGTATGTTTTAAAGCTTTAAATCTGGATTTTAAACAAACCTATATCTATACCATTTCTACACTACATCGCCTATTTTGTGGTCTATTTAATTCACAACATGCGGTAGCCATAAATAAGGTAATGTAATGTAATGTAATGTAATGTAATGTAATGTAATGTAATGTAATGTAATGTAATGTAATGTAATGTAATGTAATGTAATGTAATGTAATGTAATGTAATGTAATGTAATGTAATGTAATGTAATGTAATGTAATGTAATGTAATGTAATGTAATGTAAAGAAAAGTAATGTAATGCAATGTAATGTAATGTAATGTTTATTTACGGACTTTTTTTACAAATTAACTTAAATTTAGCTTAAACTATTAAAACGTGATTACATAAAAAGGTATTTTCTTGTAACTACTTAAATTATTCTGTAATAAACTGCAGTCATTGGAATTTTTTATGACTATAAAGTTTTAGATCATGAGCAAAGAGCACAACTTTATATTTCTAAATTTGTACGATCCTCATTACACTATTCAAGGAGCGCTACTGACAAATTTATTTTGTTCGTACTTAAAAATGTTATTATACTTATCGGCCGATTGTTTACTGTCGTTTATTAGTCATTTGTTACGACGCAGCGTAAAATATTTATCGTTAAACTTTTATGTATCACTACCTATAAAGAAAACATTAAGTTTATCTTTTCAAAAGGTGTTCGAAAAAAAACTAATTGTATTGTAATATTGTGCCTACTGGACTTCTAATTGATGAAATAATTAAATCTAATTCTCTAGTTGGTTAGTTATCCTAATGTCATACAAAAAGCTAATAAGTAGTCATTAGAAGAATCTTACTCCATATTTCAGATTTAGAATATTTACTTCAGTCGCCAGAGACGAAAATGCCACTCAACCTCTAAAAATCATACAAACAAGTCAAATTTTGCCGAGAATATTAATTTTTAGACCCCAAAAAAGATGCAAAAAAGTTTGCCACTTTTACCTTCGCGCTTCCCTCTAAAACCCCCCTCGCAGGGAAGTAAAACGCAAAAAAATCTATTTACTAAGAATTCGTACGTCGTAGAAAAAATTGTTTTAAATAAAAAATGTAGCTGATTTGTGTAAAATAACCCATTCTCTCGCAAACAACGCTTAAAGCCACCGTCGATTTTAAATGTCAGTTACGCACGCGAAATCAATGTTCAATAAAATTTGTATCAGCTCGACGGTAAAAATTCAATATTTTTTTATTTAAATATTCTATCGACAAAAATCAAGACGCGTTTTAAAGGTAAGATTTCAGATTTCGTATAATTTTTTTATATATTTTGCCTCAAGTAAACTTAGATTTTATAAAGGTGTTAAATAAATAAACGTGGCGCTATTTTTCCCATTTTTTATGATTCTCATGAGATCATTACAATCTATCCCTTTTATTGACTGGTCACTATAAAGTTTTGATTACTATTATAGAGCCTAACTTTACTACTAATTACTAGAACTTAAAATTGAAATTTCCTCTCCGGCTTTGCTTGTTAAGAACTCTGGCAGATATAGTCACTACAATTTTTAAATAAAGTGGGACTGCTGCCATAGCCAAAGCAACTTTTCTATTAATCTTCATATTTATTTAAAATTATTTCACTTTTCTATGAATCTAAAGACCAGAAAAAATTCTTCAAGATCTATAAAAATTTGGTTAGGTTTGTATTTTCTGAAGTAGTTTTTAAATATTATGGTTAGGTATTACGTCTAGTTATAAACCAATCTTAAATCTTGTGAATTATGATTGTGGTTAAAGTTATGTTTATGACTTAGATTATTATCTTTAGAAATACAACATACACGAAATAAAACAAGTTAAGTTGTAGGTAAATTATTGTTTGAGATTGCTTTTATTATTTTATTTGAAGGAAACTTTACGTCTCGATGTTTATATCGCTGCTGAATTTAAGTTTAAATTAAACAGTTTTATTTTTTAGTTGTATTTCCATAATTAAGCGCTGCGTAATGTTAATAGTAAAAGGCCCGAAAACTCAGAAGAACGTTAAATGTACGATTAGACATGTGACATAACATTTCACCTTTGACAGCTGTTCCGGTATAAAAAAATACGATAAATTTAAACAAGTAATTAAGCAAAATTGCGAAGTTAATAAGAGGCAAGTGTATTTTGTACCGTTTTAGTAAACAATAACGTTGATTGCGTGATAGACAATCTAACACATGAGTAGTTCAATAAATTTCAACTAATCAATAGATGATTATGGACTGTTGAACAATGGATCTCAACAAAAGTAAGGTGATTCCTATAATTCGATATTTCCATGTTTAATTAATACTTTATTCTATCGCTAGCACCTCTTATTACAGAACTAAATGTCTAACGCTATCTGTGATTGTCCCATAACCTTTGTATCTCTTAGTAACCCTTATAACAGTTGCTAAAATGATTAAGAAAAACGATCATGGGAAAATTACATTAGGAATGTTAAAAGGTAACAAGGTATATGTCGTGTTGTGCAATTTTTTCAGTAGAGACTTTTTGTAGAATTTATTTTATGCACTCTTTCTTAGTAGTCCAGTTTCATATTGCAAGTGGGTTCAAATTTTGTCAACAGGAAGAAATCACATTAGTCCATTATAATAAAGCAAAACGATTGGGTGATTCTCTAATTAATAATGAACTTACATTTAAATAAGCACATGTTTTTAAAAAACAATTTATAATAGTTATTGTTATCTTCATACCTATTACAAAACAAATTTTAAATAAATCAGCTAATATTAACTTTGAATATTTGTTTATTTTATTTATTTGTTTATAGTTTATGATGTGTCTGTTAATTGTTTATTTATATATATTATTACTGGTTGAATTACTGCTGTGTAATCCTAAATTTTATTTCTGTTTTTATATGTGCATATTCTAGTGTACTAAGTTATTTTTTACTAGATAAATTTCCCAATATCTTTGGTTTTAAGGTCAATTATCATCAAAATTTCCTAGTTTTCCCTGGTTACTATGAAATTGAGACCAATAATTCAGAACCCTTCGATATTTTTATATCTTAAGCCTTAAATGCCCAACAATATGGAAGACTGGTACTCATATATGGCTCAGAAACCTGGACACTCACTAAAAGAGTGGAAACATTGTTTGCCACCTTCTAAAGAAAAATCTTGCGACACATATATAAGGGCACAAAAGAAAACAGAATAAGGTGAAGAAGATACAACTTTGAACTATACAAAATATACCAGGATCTGGATATTATAACATTCATTAAAATAGGACGGCTGCATGAGGACATGTAGAAAGAATGGAAGAAGGCGAAATACAAAACAAAATATACAAACAGATGCCAGTAGGAAAAAGAACAAGAGGAAGACCGAAGCTGAGATACTTGAACAAATAGAAAATGAAATCCACAAGGAAAACAATTCCTGTAGCTGGCTGTATACCACGTATTACAAAAAAGAGGTTAGTCTTCGTAAATGGGTATATTTATTTAAAATCCCTTAAAAGGGCTACATCAAAAAAACAAATGTTTTCGGACTAAACAGTCCATCATCAGGTTTAAAATTTTAAAATTGCAAGGTTATAATGACTGAGCCACCAAAATACCTGGGTAAAAACCCTTTAAATTACATATAGTTGTAAAAGATTATACATCATGTTGTAAAAAAACTGTGATGTTCAGTATTAAATTAAAATTGACTTCAGGTAACATACATGGCTGAAGTGAGTACCAAAGCCGGAGAGTAAACCTCTTCAGACGGAGAACAGCTGTCACCATTTTTTTTACAACATAATGTATAATCTTTTACAACTATATGTAATTTAAAGGGTTTTTACCCAGGTATTTTGGTGGCTCAGGCATTATAACCTTGCAATTATAAAATTTTAAACCTGATGATGGACTGTTTAGTCCGAAAACATTTGTTTTTTTGATGTAGCCCTTTTAAGGGTTTTTAAATAAATATACCCATTTACGAAGACTAACCTCTTTTTTTTAAATAGAACATGATATAACAACCTTAAAAATAAAAACTGGAGAAAAAAAGCACGAAAGAGATCAGAATGGAGAAGAACAGGCTAAGACCGAAAAAGGGTTGTCAAGCCAGTGATGATGATGATGAATATGAAGATTCCATGTATGGCCAAGGGTGGCTAAAAAGTGTCCACCTTGAAAATTGCTAATGTATTATTTATTAAGAGTTTTAGAAATGGCTTAAGAATCTTATGCTTAGTAAACACAGCATTATCTGAAATGTTAATATAAACGATATACAAATCTTACAAAACTAATGAACTATTAAAAAACAGTCTGAAATAATAAGGATAATCTGACTCCCACTGTGTTTTCACTGTGTTTGCCACACACATGTGTATTGCACTTCGTCTTTGACAATTTTTTTATACATTCATTTCTATCAAAAGCTTCTTTGACGCAAATGGAACAACACATTTTTGTAGTGTGAGGTCTAACGTCAGATTTAACTTCATTGGCGCCTTTAAGTTTTTGCCCCAAGGTACTCTTCATTGCAACTAAAATGTGAAGATGCGACAGCTTTAGATTCTCAACCCTTTGTTAGAGAAGAGCCTTTACTAGTTCAATGACAAACTCCTGGAGGAAAAGAACCCTTCTATTATGTCATTTTTTATATTCTGTTGTGGGTGATTAAGTGTAAATAAGGAAATAAGCAATGTCTAATAATATAAAGAATGTTGACAAGGCTACCTTCTTGTAGATCTCTTAGACCTGTATTTCCCTGCCATTTGGTCTATTGTGTCATTTGGGTCTATTCCACCCTTGGTTGCATTATACAATAGATTTATATCAGATTTATTCTTGGCATCGTTGCTCACAACATCGTCACCATGTTGTGTAGAAAAAATTAGTATTTTTCTGGGCTTTATTCCAGGGACATAGGAGAGAAGGGTAACTGGTGGATTTCAGGACTGGAAATCTGTAAAGGCCAACATAGTTGAGTATAGTTTTCTATCTTGAGTTCTTCTGATATCATCAGGTATACGTTTGCGGTTTTGTGGCATTGTAAGAACCATAGGGAGTCTGAAATCTTCATATAGTTCTTCTGCTAACTTATGGAAGTGTAATAGTAATAGGTAGTAACGTTATCATATGTATTCTTTATTGATTCAACTAGATGCTTCACAATATCTTTTGGTCCTCTAGACTCTTCTGTCATGCTTTCTACCTTTCCAGAATAAACTTCTATTTTCAGAATGTAACGAGATTTACAATCTGCTAATATCCAAATGAGAATCCCATACTTTCTAAACAAGAACAACTTCTTGTCATTTCCCTAAACAGGAACAGCAAACAACATTCACTCCTGGAGTAAAGTATCTTAGAAATGTGTCATTCAATAATTCTTCAAAGATATTTCTAAGTGGTGTAAATTTATCTTGCTTTAGGTGTTCTTTCTTTATCTTTCTAGGATCAAATCGCAAAACCAAATCTTAAAAAATCTGTTTCTGCTCATGGTACCAACATAGATAACACTGCCAACTGCTTTGACAACAAATCATGGCAGTTTAGCTTTTACAGTTTAGTTGTGGCTGTATCTGCATTTACCCCCATCAAAAGTTCTACAATAGCGTGTTGTTCTACTATAATCTATTCGTAGCCAAGAAAAAGTCCACCTAAACAATTACACATGAACAAATCCTGATCCTCGCATATGAAAGTGAGTTGAAGTATGCCTTCTGCTCTCTGTGTTGATATTTTAAAATCTTCTTTGAAGATGAATTTGACATCATGTTTCGCTAATATTTTATCAATTCGATCCATGACATTTTTAATGTACAGTGAAAAAGCTTTTCCTTGGTACTCATAGTTGCAGTTAACTCTTTTTGGACATATAAATCATTTGAGTTTTTTCGTGGGGCCACCTTTTTCGTGGCCCCCACTCACAAAAGTGTCTTTTGATTTGGTAATTTTAGGACTTTAGTTCTATTTTTTTATCAAACAGTGTGCAATAATCTGTCTCGATGGATTTCCCATTTGAAACATGTTTTGGTAAGCCAGTGGCGAAAAATATTTTTGATGTTTTCCGTACTACAGTAAGCAGTGAAACTACACTTAAACTTACTAGTATATCATTTGGTAATATTCTATATTTTCTGAGATTTTCCAACATAACAAAACTTTCTTGCATTCTTTTTATTTTTAAAGGGACAGATAACATAACAGTTTAAGATAGTTTTATCATATTTTGGAAATTAGTTTATAAAAAACTAAAATGCTACAATAAAGTAGTTTTAGAAAGATAATTGTAGCAATTATAAACCAACTCTTAACTTAAAAATAAATTTTGATGTCACATTTGTTTGTTTTTGGTTTATTTCAGCGTTTGTTAAACACAGAGTGCTTTTATAATTATTTTAAAATAATTTGGATGATAAGCTGCAGATATGGTAATTTTGAAATACATTTTTTATTTGATGAACTTCAGTACCAGAAGCTATTTTTATAGTACATGTAGATTAAAACATACAGGATCACTAAATGATTACCCCAACTATTTTGCACCCATTTGCAAGAGAAATTAAAAGCTTTGCTGTTGTTGGAGGTGAAAATAAACATACTTAATGTACTTGATAGTTTTTGTATATTTTTCATTATATTATAAGAATTATAATATGTGTGTTGTATTGTGATAAGTGCAATATGATATTTGTTTTACACACTGAATTATTAATAGAGGAACACCTTACTCTGGGAATCTGTTTTAAGTGTTCAGTGTAAAAGTGCACATAGTCCATAGTCTCTGATAAGTATTACTTTTATTAATATTGTATCAACAGATTTGATTTATAAGTTTTATGCATTTCATCAATTTGTATAGCAAAAACAAGTATATCATACATTATTTCATTAAAAAACACAATCCATTAAAATTTTCCTCTAAATTTGATACTAAAGTTGTCTCTTGTGTCACTAATCTGGTTAACCTATTTTTTATATTTATATAAGAGTTTTGTACACCAGGTTGATCCTTCCCGTTTTTGTAATATCAAGCCTGTTGACTTATTTCCCGAAGTTTTCCATTATATATATTCTTTAGTATTTAGAGTTACTTTACCTCACTCTACAATGGCATACATTCTTTGCTTATATTGTTGAATTTTTAT